ATAATCAAATTTATATAGGCTAATATAATACTGTATTTAATTATAGAATCTGTCTACCTAACTATAAACATATATAACCGATCATTTAAGTTTAAATAAAATTAATTTTGAACTTAATGAGCTTGCTATAATATTTTAATAAAATCGATTTTTCAAATAGGGCAAAAAATAAGACCATTCAACTTTCCAAAAACGGTGACTTTAGGAGAAAGAGTTACTACGATTTGTGCCACAAATAGTGGCGATGATTTAGTGTATAAATGGTATAAGGACGGTAAGGAAATTGATTCAGATAAAAGAATTCAAATATTAAATTACGCAGCAGCATCCATGCTGGTTATCGAAACGGCTGAAATAAACGATAATGGTAATTATACATGCACTGTAAATTTACCGTCNGTAATCAGTTAAATGATCAGTTATTTTTATAATTAATTCTGTTTAAAAAAATCTTTTAATAACTTCAATGGCGTATCTTAAATATATAAAATAGTTTTTGCTGAAGTTTTAATTTGGCAAAATTAATTGAGAATATCCGGTGATAATCCAAATAATTAGATGAAGGAAGGAATTTAGACTTAATGTTACTCGGACAAATTTTTAGTGGCTGTATTAATACAGTGAAGGAATGTTTTTAATAAAATTAATGATATAACTCGATTTTTATGTGTTTTGCTAATATTTCATCATTGGTAATTAGTAATTTCCATTTGGAAAGTTTTTTCCTAAATTAATATTTTATTGCTTTGCTGATGATCATCTATCTAATTAATGATGTTTACTCTAAAGATAGCAACGTTAGTTGAAATTAAGACTTCGATGATCTTCATAATTATTTAATAGTTATGAGGAGAAAATAGTTTTGTATCGCACGAGTTAGAAGTTTTATTTCTATTACAAAATCTTTGATTGTAAGGTAATTTGATTAAAGAGATTTTAGACAGAATAAATAAGAAAAAAGCTGCAGGAGTTTCACTCTGTGCACTCAAAAATGTAGAGAAAGAAATGTTGTGAAGTACACATGCTTAGAATGTTTTTCGCGTTTTATTTTTTGTTTCCTTTTCTATTCACACGGAACAACCAAAGCTGCGAGTACATTAGCGGGAATCAGAGCTAATGATTGAAATCCGGAATATGTTTGCAGAGATGTCAAAAATGGAAAACTTTCCGTACTTACATAGTCACATGACTAGCCATAAATCTACATGTCTTCTTCTCAGCCAGTAATCAAGTTGTCACCAAACCTTGATGTTTGACGTCAGCCAGATGGAACTGACGAGAAGAATGATAGCAAACCCTAAAAAACTTCCCAAAAATTCCTGTAGTATAGGGACGAATAGAATCCTTTTTTCTTATCTTTGGGGCTAAATTGAACAGCTTCAATCCCGCTGGGGTGCCGATTGTGTGATTAATGATGTGTAGGGAGTCTGCATCAAGACTTGTGTACCGAACCTTTTCTGTATTCTATTAATAAAAAAAAGCATACTTTCTGAAAAGTGCAAGTTTCGTTTTAAGTGCGTAAAGGAATGTTTTAATTTCTATAATATATATGTAATTTGACTATAAATTAATTATGATATAGTAAATTTATACAATTATATCGCGTTGGAGCACGGTAAACAGAAATTAACTTAATGACCCGCGTTTATATTCCCAGATAAGATCTTTGCTATCCTGTTTTAGTTTTTTCGAATAATAATTTATTCCACAGCTAATTATCGATTGGAAAAATTTCAATTTTATATACGATTTTATACTGGTTACTTTTTAAAATTCAACTTTTATTTTTAAATTTTCCTTAATTAAACATATGTAATTAGTTATTCGAATTTCTTTAATTAAAAATTGATCTAAAATCATTAATTAATGGTGAAACTTATTAAAGAGATTTTAATACCACAAATATTAATTGGTAAAAATTCAATAAAATCATTTTGCACGCTTTAATTATCACCGAGAGTAATTTGGAATTAATTTTGTATTATTATTTCTCGAACAATTTCCATCAATTCGACATTATCCAAGCATCAATTAATCTTTAAAAATCTAACCTATTGACATTCCGTAACTGTGGCTGTCGTGTAACTGTCACATCATCGTCATTTGTAAAGTTGAAAAATTCACAGACATACGTGCACGATAAATGTAAAAATGATAGTTTCACACGATAGACCTATATTTATGTAGAATAATATATAATAAGCTCTTTACTAATTTTCATTTTCTTATTTTAACATTATCGTCCTTAGTGCGAAATAAATTCTAAATCCGAGACGATCGAATTTTTTCTTTCTTTATAAAAATACAGTGTCTGAAAAGACTACCAAAGAAAAGTCTTTTCAATTCTTTCCACCAATTTAAACTTTAAATCCTCGGAGAAGAAAGAGTGTATAAATGCCATATCGGCTTTCTCGTATAACCAATGGTTCCAACTGAATGAATGCGGGGTTCCTAAAGCTTTTATATTATGAAGAAGACACACTCGAGTAGCTCCTGTCGCGAATTTCCAATAGTGTTTCAATGGTGAGAAAAATTTCGCCTCTACCACCTAAAAAGGACTCCGACGATTTGTAACGGTTTGGAGGATTTAATAACTCTTAGAATTATACCAACGGCCATAGTTATGTTTCTTAAAAGGCTCTTTTGTAAAGAGGTTTTTGCAACATTTTACTTGCCACTTTCATTATCTCTTACCTTTTTATAGACAAATAATGCAAATGGTCTTGATCTGATTCTGTTGTCTAGGAGATTTCCCAATCGATTTAGACTCCTTAGTAATTGCTTTAATGATAGGATGCAGACTAATATTTTCCGTTCTTTCGAGTCTCCTGCTAAATTCCCTGTTCATACTTTGGTTAATATCGATTGAATTCTTTTTATTCTAATCACAGTTTCGCTAACGTCAAAAAAATCCAAAATTTTATTCATTTGCTAAATTAAATTCACTGCTTTGTATATCTTTTTTTTTTATCAGACGAAGTAATCTATGTTACGACTAATTATAAAATTACATAAATATCTCAAGGTAAGATTCCATTCCGTAAATGTTATATACAGAAATACGAGATATAAATATCACCAGTCAAATTACTGCAAATTTATGTTTTCCGGTGTTAAAATTTTCTTTTTAGCATTCTTCTGTCTGATCCGAGGACTAGTTCCACATCTTAAGTAGCATTCTGCTTTCTGCAACCGAAGACCATTAAACTAGAGCAATAAAACATTCCATCGAAGCGATTTTTGCAAAGAGAACTTTTCTATTTCCCTCCCCTTTCGGGAAACAAAAGATAACTTGGAATTTTACTATGAGACGTTAAACAGAATTTAAAAGTATTCTTCCAACGCAGTACAGGAAAGATACTTTTTTAAAGCGTCTTAAGTCACTACCAAATAAGATAATTATGATTAAAATGGACTAAACTCCAGCTTCACACGAACTTCATTTCGATAATTTTATTGTTTTTCTAGTTACATTATCCAGATATCTTCTTCCTCCATCTGCACTTTCCAATCATTAATAGAATTAACTTTTAAAATTATTAAAATAAATCTTTTTAAATTCATATTTAAGAATTTTATATAAAAATCTTCTCAAAACAATTCAAAATAATAAATATTTTTAAGTATTTCTACTCGATTCCTTAATCTGAAATTCTATGGAAATTTCAAATTAGTAGCTACCTTTTTAATTTCGTTCTGCTAAGTTTATTTACTTTAAATTACATTTATGCAAAAAGACACCCAAAAGACACTGTAGAAAATTAAACTCTGTTTTTTTTCATATAAATATATTTTTGCCTTAATTCAAATTTTTGATAAAACTTTGAATCATTCTTCGAGCTATTACAATAAATAAACCCATCAGTTAAAATGAGAAAACTTCGTCAATTTTGGGGAAGAGACATTTAGTAAGGAAAAAATAAGATTTTTTGTGGTCTTTCCACTGAACGTTTCGATAGTGGAAGAGAATATCCGCCTAAAGGCAGACTAATATTCCTACAAATTACAGCTGGCTGAAAACGGATAAAAAGGGGGAAAAAAGCTTGATTGCGAGCTTTAGCCAATAAAATCGCTGCAGATAATTTTATTTCTAGTAAGGGATGCTCATGAGTATGAAAAAAATCAAATCGATGTAATTTCCAAACAGCTATATTTTTTTCTTTTTTTGTTTAGTTCGCTCTCAATCGCCAACAAATTAGATAAGTGACATCGAATCTAGACCTTTCGCAGAGATAACAATGATGTTTTTTTATTATTATTTTTAGCATTCTCCATTCATTTAAGCGGCTATTTGCTTATTGGTGTTTCGCACTGTATTATATAATTGCTAACGCAGTGTTCTTCTTTTCCTTTCGAATACCTCTAGCTGTATAGATCTAATCGCCTTTTTTGTATGAATTTACTCTCCTTTCGTCCTGTTGCATTATTTATTCAAAAAAATATATAATTCTATCCGAGTAGAATCCTAACTGCTGCATTAAAATCAGCCGTTGCATAAAAATGAAAGTAAATACCCAGTATAGATCATGGAAAGTGCGATCTGTCGGTTTTTCTAGTGACGTCAAAATCAACTTATTTAGAAAGAATTCACGTATTTTCTATATTTCTATTTCTATCAGTATCAAAATTTCCCAGCGGTTTTTCTACCACGATTACATTTTTGTCTTCCATACCAATACAGCATTTACTTTTGTTCACGTTTCTCTCTTCTGCAGATAATAATATTATTTACTGAGACAACGCAGAGAGTCACAAATCTAATTTGCTGCAAAGTGACTTTAATTACACCTACGCGGATTTATTAGTCTCGATGTATTAGATTACAGAACAAATTACACCGCCACCGACATTATATCCCTCCTGGACAATTGTCCTTTGAAAAATTATAACATATTCTTGAAAATGTCACCGTACATCGCAACGCAGAGAATTTTTTAAACGAGTAAATAAACTATTTAATTCTTCTGCTAAATTTTTATTTTCTCCAATTCTTTTTACAGATTTATGGATGTTTCACGAGGTGGTAGGATGAATCGTCCGGGTTCTAGGCTAAGAAGACAAAGAAGCCAAGAATGGCAAGATTATAGTTCGTCAGATAACGACGAAGATCTCGAACGCCAGGGATATCGCTATTCAGAAGATCACGGACATCAATATGAAGATCCCAGAGTGGTTGTTGACAGCAGGAAACATGATGGAGGTACGGTATCCTATTTGCTGCACGACTTCCGCAGTCGAATTATAACGAGATCCCACTGGGAGTAAACATGTTTCTTTAACTCTTAGAATTATTCGCATCGCTTCCTGCATTTATACTTATTCCTTTTACTTTAAGATATCCAGTAACTTCTGTTTTGATAGTCTTGTTTTCTCCAAGTGCTCGACAGTAGTTTTACTTACATTGATTCAATTTAAGCGTAATTTCCTTTCATAAATTCTCATTAACGATTTCCAATGTCGCAAAAAAATTCAATTTTCTTTCGAATTTCTAAACAGAAATAAAATAATCAGTATTCCGAGCCGGTATATAGTTGAAATTCTGTGTTAACCCGTGTCGAAATTATGTTAGTACCCTAGTACTTCCGAAAAACTAAAATCTGAGAAGAGTTTCCAATTGACAATACTCTACCTTTACTGGTGTAAGAGACTGTTGTAAGGAAGTTGAGAAATCCTATTCTCTACAGCCAGGAAATCGAATGATGGCTAGGAAACCTTTGTATCGGGTTTGAGTACTATCAGGAGGGCTGCTTAACATTCTATCCAACAGAATGCTACAACTTTGTACGTTTACAGAAATGTTACAACGAGTCTCTCTCTCTCTCTCTCTCTCTCTCTCTCTATTACTCTCCTGGCATTGCTAAAATAAAGATAGTCTGCCGCAGGGATTGTCTTGCAATAAAGGTTTATTTGTTGACTATTGCTTCCAGCCAAATTCATAGTAGTTGATTAGTTAGCTGCATCAGCACAACATAATAAATTAAGACTGTGTACCTACGTAGTTAAAGTTCTCAATTTTGCTAAGCTTCATACAGATATTTTGACGAATTTCAGTATTCTCAAAATATTTATTTTGGCTTAAAACAAAAAATTATTTATTCCAGCTTACATCAAGAACTGCAGTTTTTAAAAATCATGGGTGATCCAAAACAAATATTTAAAAAATTAATGAGCGTTTAAATATTGTAATCTGATCAATACCTAAAATCAAATGAAAAACGCATTTATCTTAGATTTTTTCGGAGGAGAAAATCATTAAAACATGAACTTCTCATAAATTTCTACAAATATTTCTACTTTGGGGTGTGGTTAGAAAAAGACATGCTCCAAGAGTTAAAAAAAAGAAATAATTGGAATTAAGTGAAGAATTTATTAAAGCACTGAAAAATGATGTTTTATAATATTATTAAATATAATAAGTTTTTGTCAAATTAAATAATTCGTTTCACTGAACCCTTCTAACTAATCTGAAGTTTCACCAGAAAAGTTTTGTAGAGAGATTCCGAAAAGTAATAGAAATTCGGAGAAGGTAATAATAGAAAATTTCAAAAAAAAAGGATAAATCGAAATAAAAATCTAGAAGATAAAAATATCGTTCAATAATAAAAGCCTCGGCCATTTTGACTGTAAAGTTAGTGAAGATAAATTCAATTCTTTTCTGTCCAATTGAGTTTCCCTCTGGCAGAAAAATTTACTTAACCTTTCGTCTGCCAATGTCTGAAGTTAACTCATCTGTTCCAATCAATTTGGTACCGGAACAAAACTAGACAGATGAAGAAGTGTTTTTATAGAGATTCGTTTTTGTGTAAATTCAGCAAATGTTTAAGTATTCCTTTAATACAGCAATTTTATCCGGAAATTATTGGTAGCAAGTCTACTGAAACCACGCATTCTCTCAATTTATAAAGTTAGAAAACAAAACAAAAGTAGTATAAATAAAATGGTTAAAAAGTGAATTGATATTAGTACCGTTTTGTAGTAATGGATGTAAATTTGCCATAACAGAGATAACTTAAACGAGGAAAGAATGTAAAGGGAATTAACGTCTAGACAGAAAACAACGCTATGTAAATCGTCTCCCACAGCGTTGACACATCCCAAGCGACCTACGAGTCGACACAACCTTATATTAACTGCTTCGATACAGGCACGGGAACGGAGATTGGAGGAAATGAAGACAAATTCGATCCCCCATGACACGATACCTCCTAGTGGTGTCGGTGAGAGATTAATCCGGTACACCCAATAAACCAGACTGGGATACAGGATGTCTCTCCCCTCCACAAATCACAGACTTGTCCTCCGATTCCTTGCAGTGTCAAGTGTTAACCTAAATCGTCCTTTTTAGACATCCAAAAAAATATTTTTCTACAAACATTTATTAAAAGAGCTCTCGATTTTGACCTTTAATTAAAAATATGTAAAATAATATTAGTAATAATTAAATTGCATTGAACCGTAAGCAATAGATTCTGACTAATAATTTTTAACCATATAAAATAATAAAATTAAATCTTATTTATTTATATATTTAAGTTATAGAATTTATTTTTAATTAATTAATGTATTTAGCAATTGTTTTTCATTCATTTATTTAAATGTTTTGCGTTTTAAGTATAATAAGTTCATAAAAATGTAGTCGAAAGTAATTAAAATTATATCGTAAAAATGTAATTTACATAATTAAAATTTTACAAAATGGATGAATCAAACTTCATATGTAAATAACAGAGTAATTTTATGAATATCGAGTATCTAATTTTTAAAATAACTTAAGTAAAAAGACAAACAAACAATATCAATTTAATATAAATGTTGAAGAAACTGCAACCGCATTTATATTATAAAAGTTTTTGTTGTTGGCTTTTCTTTATGTTTAACATCAAAACCTTTGCCAATATTTTGAACGAAGGTACTTCGGTATATTAAAAATATATAAAACACTAACATAAGACAATATTTCTATTCTGACATTATAATTTGTATGAATACATTTTTAGTTTTTCTGCTCGAACAAAAATTTTTTTAAAAAATTTTTTTTATGAAAATGTTAAAATAAAGCTTGAGAATAAATTAAAATTTCTTTAATTTTTTCTGCTTCATCAAAATTCAAAACAGTTTATAAATTTTCACGTTTTTCTGCTACAAACTGATATTATTTACTATAATTTATTTTCAAATTTCATTTATTTTACAATTTATGTCTTTTTTTAAATAAAAAAGGGCAGGAAATATATTGATAAAATTGTAAGTTATTTGATACATTTATAAACAAAAGTTACTTTATTAGCATAGGCTACACAGTATTATGTATGTAAATTATCTCTCATCATTATAGATATTAAAAACTGAAATGATTATGCATCAGTGTTATTAATTCTAGAGCCTTGTCGACTTTATTACACTTAATCATTTAATGTTTTCGAGCCATAGATTTTCGAAAACATACGTCTGCGGTTTCGAGTTTCTTGAAGGAAATGACAAATTACAATAATAGATAATTTCAAAAATTATACAAAAATAGGCGCTAATACAGCTATTAATGTCGATTTTTAACAATTTCGGACAATTATTTTTATTCAAAACAGACGAAAAGCTTGGTAAATAGGTTTTTGATTTGGGAAAAAGAATGACTAAAAATAAACTTGTGATGAATAATGGAGAGATTAAATGTTAGATGGCTGGCATTGTCCGAAGCTCAACTGTAACACTATATCAAATAGTTTTATTGAGTGGACTTTGGCTTTGCCAAAGACAGACTTACATCAATGTTTGGTCTGTTATATGTATAGTCTCTAATTAGAGTTCCGAGCCGGGATGTTCGTGTAGCTTGTTAGTGATCCCATTCATCGTCTAAAATGTCTAGGGATCTGATGAATGCCTGAGGCTGCAGTTCTGTGGACAGAGAAGAGTTAGACAAGGAAAAACCCCAGATCCTTTTGTTACGAGTTCGACAAGGGCACAATTCTTCCAATTTTTAAATATTTTCCCTTCTTCTTTTTATTCTTCTTATACAGGGAGATTTTTTTTAAAAAAGAAATATTTTCAATTAAAATAAAGTATCTTTTATAAAAACTCATTTTAAATTACAGAACATTCTTCAGACATAAATATTATTCGAGTTTAAATTATTGTTTACGTGCTTCTACCTAAATTTCTCTAATCGATAACTCCCGCTATAATATATTTTATAAAATAATATATATTTCAAAAAATATTTTAGATTAATATACCTAGAGGGCTAATACTTTTTGGGAATACAGACGTGACAAACTGTCGGTCACGTTCCAAACAAGTTTCCAAAATTTTATTTAATTATTTAAGTATATTTTCTGCATATTTACATCATGTATATCGATTTACAACGCTTAAGGTATTTACATGACGAAATATATTTCAATTGTTATTAAAATTCTAGAAGAGGAACAACTGTCTTTAAAAACTTTTAGCATAGGCGAAGAGACGAGATGATTGCAAATGTGCCATGTTCTTACTAAGGTGTGGTTAACAACCGTTGGCTCACGACAGAATACGATCACGCAAGAAGCCGTGACGCTAAAGCACACCCCTTTAAGAAGCGATCGAGTTAATAGAAGGCATTGCGCAATCACGTCTTCACTAAATAAAATTCAAGACATCCAGCATAAAAGATAAAGAAGAAAAAAAGTAAAACTGCACAGTATAAAGTTTTAATGCAATATTTGCATTTTTTTAAATTTTCATTTTAATCTATTTACGTACAGCTTTAACATCATAAACTTTGTAAATGTAGCTTTTTTATTTCGATTTTATTATTAATATAAAATTTAAATGAAGAAAGATTAAATTTTCTATATTATTACTGTAGAATTAAGAAATGAAATGTAAAACATTCATAAAATTAAATAAGTTAATAATTGTAATAGTAAGATCCGCGTAGAGGTAAAGAATCATAAAAGTAAAGATTCACAAAAATTTATTTTGATGCGAAATTTTAAAATAAAATTTGGTAACAAAAGAATTAATCTATATTTTGAATATGTTTCAGGATAAAGAACAAGGAAGAATCTGATAGATTTTTTTAGCTAGTTGAAATTACTATTGAACTTGTAAATTATTCAAATAATTCTAAAGAATATTTTTAAATAAAAAATATTACATGAAGGCACAATTATACACTTAGGTAAAAACAGAAAAAAATATTAATGGAGTCGATTAGAAACG